AAAATGTTGCTAAAAGTTTATCAGAAACTTTTACTGTATTTGTTACATTGATCTATGCCTTTTTCCTCCTTTGTCTTTTAATATAATTTATATTAACTGATTTTCTAATATTAACTACCCTTGCATTCCCAGTAAAAGCTTGACTTGAGCTATTTATCTTTTTTTTTCTGCATTTCTGGGCCCAATTTGATCATAGAGTCTAGGATTCTTACACTTATTATTTCTTATTGAAAGATGTTAGCCTATGCTTTTAATTTCTAGTTCTCTTTTGTTATAATTTGGTATCAGGATGCTGTGAGCTTTAATACTTGGGGACTGTTGCCCTTTTTTTCTGCATTTTGGTATAAAATTGGTTTTGTGTCATTTTTTTTTTAACCTGGAACAACTTCCATGTACCTTCATTGTGATTGTTGACAGGCTGGATTAACTTTACCACATTCTGTGCTCGTGGTTTTTTTCCTCTTATTTTTGTTTTCTCTTATAGTAAGTACCCATCCTGCCATTGTGTTTGGTCTATTTTTTTATGCTACTTCTAGCTCTTTTTACTCGTTTTTTGTTTTGTTTTGTTTGTTTGTTTTTAAATATATTTTTATAGATTTTAGAAATGAAGGGAGAGGGAGGGAGAGAGAGAAACATCAATGATGAGAGAAAATCATTGATCTGCTGCATCCCACATAACATCACTGGGGATAGAGCCCAAACCTAGGCATGTGCCGTGACCACAAATCAAATCATGACCTCCTGGTCCATAGGTCCATGCTCAACCATTGAGTGACACTGGCCGGGCTCGAGCTATTTTTATATGCCTTCCTAAAAATAACCAAAGTTAGTAAGTAGTGAACTTATAAACGTTTAATGCTGGTGACTGTATCCAAATGTAATTGCAATTATCCAGTATTTTAGTTCTACCGATTTCTGCCATAATTTTTCCTTATTGTATTGTTTTATGCAATCATTATTTGTATAAAATACTTACACAAATATTTGAAATTGTACTTAGAGTTTTTTCATTATAAATATTCTCATCTCTGAAACATTACTTATATGCATATGTGTTACATCTGAGGTATCCCCTTTAAAATTTTCTTTATAAAGGTGTTTTGTTGGCAAACATCTCAGCTAGGTGTTTTTTGTTTGTTTGTTTGTTTTTTGCCTGAAAATTGCTTTACTTTGCATCCTTCTTAAAGTTGATTTTGCTATGAAAGCAATTTTAGGAGAAGAATCTTTTTTTGTCTTCAGCACACTCAATATATTCTATTTACTGGTATCCATTGTTTTTTTGAGATGCCAGTGATTATTCTAATTACCCTTCCTTTACAGCTGATCTGTATTTTTCCTCTGGCCTCATTTAAAGTCTTGTGTTTACCTTTATTGTGTGAACTTATAGTTGTAATTTCTAACTATCCTGCATTGGATTTATTGGGTTACTTTGGGCTTTTTTTTTTTTTTTTTAATAGAAAAAGTCATTTTCTTTCTTGATATGTCTCATTCCTCTTTAACATCTTCTTGAAATTTGTTTAGATACATGTTTAATCTTTTCAGCTCAACCTCTATATCTCTTATGATTTCTTATATTCATCTCTTTCTGACTGCTGCAGACTGTTTTTTTGTTTCGGGCAGGATATTCTTGTCCCTCTTGTTACTCACTGCTTGTTAGCCTGGTAGTGAGGAGAGAGGACGGATACTTAGGGAAGAATTTTTTTTTTTTGGCCTGGTCAATTATCAACTGCTTTGTTATTTATAACCTCTGGCTCATTTTCAAGTTTATCTTTGAAAATGTTTTCAAATATAGCTTTATATTTTCTGATACTTCCAATACATTGAAGTGCTTGCCAAGTATGATTCTGCTGTGTGTGTGTGTGTGTGTGTGTGTGTGTGTGTGTGTGTGTGTGTGTATTTTATAGGCCTGGTGCATGAAATTCATACACTTGGAGGGGGGCGTTTCCCTCAGCTCAGCCTGTGCCCTCTCATAGTCCGGGAGCCCCGAAATTGATAGCCCCAAAGAGATAGGCCCTGCCCACCCAGCTGGGGCTCTATGATAGATCACCCATCTGCCGCAGCACTGACGCTGAGTGGCCTGGGCTGCCCTCTATAGGGTGATCATGGGGCAATGGCCAGGCCCCCGACCAATCGCATCGCACCCGCCTTGGCTGACCTGGTGCCAGTGGGTGTCAGCAAATGTGTGCATTCAATAAACAAGTCATAATAGTCTGAGGAAAGGAATGTCTCTGGTGGTATGGATGGTGTGTCTTAAGTGATTGGTAGTGTTTCAGCATGTGAAGATGGAATGGGTAGGATAATACAAATTGATGAAATAGTTACTTAGCAGAATATGTTACTTATCTATGAGGACCATGAATTGGCCACTTACTCTTGACTTGGCCACTTACTCTTGAACTCTCATACTAAAACACAGCAGCTTAGACATCAATTCTTTCTGAGAAATCATCAGGAAATTTTAGATAAAAGCTCTTCAGAGCTTTTCTGTGAGGTTTTGTTTTTGTGTGTGTGTGTTTTTGGTGGGGAAGAGCTAAGAGAGTGTTTTTTTCCAGGCTTACACACCTAAGATAGAGTGATAAAAAACATTTGGGGAATGGAGTGTATGTAACTTTGACTACCCAATATAATAGTTTAAATTTTATTTGGTGACCTTAGTGAGGTCCATTGTAGCATTTTGAATAGGAGATTTGACATAATGATTTATCTAGGTAATTTATCTGACCGTGCCAGATAGAATTAGAAAGGAACATGCCAGAAGCAGCAGGATCACCTATTACTATATTTTAAGACTGAAGTGATTAAAACTAGAATAAGTAGTAGTAAAAATGTTGGCAATGAGAATAGAATCAGACTGGACCTTGCTTCAGCAACTTCAATACTTGAGTTTTGGCTAAAAAAGTAATTCAGAGCCAAGACTCAAACTATGAAAATTTATTTACCAAGACACAGAAGTGGAATAAATGAGCTCTAGAAGGAATGGGCTCAGGAAACAAGTCACAAAGACAAAAGAAAGGGCCCTTGGAGTTTAGGAGACAGGACCTGGGAGGCGGTGGAGAGGACTGGAAAGGTGCAGGTGTGTCTCTGAGAGGGAAAGAATGCTGGGTCCTCGGTCCTGAGGGCTTTTAAGGATGGAGATTAGAGTAGGTCGCAAGGGATGATCTTAATAGAATGTTCATCAGCTTTCCAGGTGTGTCCTTTCAGGGTTGTGGTCTCTACTGATTGGTTGGTGACAGGGCAAGAGGTCATTAGTGCAATTGGTCCTGACTCAGCCATAGTATGGCTTGTCTTGTTTTGCTGCTTTTCTGAGCTTGGAGCTGAAACACAACTGAAGCCTACCATGTTTCCCCGAAAATAAGACATCCTCCGAAAATAAGACCTAGCGCATGGAAAGTTAAGACATCCCCTGAAAATAAGACCTGGCGCAACTTTGGGAGAAAATATTAATATAAGATACTGTCTTATTTTCGGGAAAACAGTAGAAGTCATGCCTAGGAGTCAGTGTTTTAAGGGAGTGGCCATGCAAGGGGCCACCTGGGAGTTCCAGGAGGCTACTCTTTGGCCCCTTGTTCCTTCTCTAAGAAAGAGGTTACCACATCACTAGCAACAAGCCAGGGAGTAGAGGGTCAAGGGAGTTAAACTGCATGGGGAGGAAAAGTTATCTTGGGGGCAAGATCCTTGTTTTCTTAATTTTGTCCCGTGTTAGGCATCCAGGGCTTTTCACCCTGGTGACCTTCTATGCCTGGCCTATGGTCCTTGGTTTGCTCATGTCTGTCTAACTGCCTACTATAGTAACTGTCCTTTTTAAAAATATATATGTTTTATTGATTTCTTCCAGAGAGGAAGGGAGAAGGATAGAGAGTTAGAAACATTGATGAGAGAGAAACATCAATCAGCTGTCTCCTGCACAACCCCTACTGGGGATGTTCATGCCCTTGACTGGAATCAAACCTGGGACCCTTCAGTCCACAGGCCCACGCTCTATTCACTGAGCCAAACCACTTAGGGCAAGTCCTTCCTTAAAAGAAAGCATATTGTGCGAGTGATTTATAAAAAGAATTGACAAGTTCTAAGAAACAACTGAAGATAAAAATTGGAAATGTTGATGAAATTTCATACTTGGGTGACTGGGAGTTTTTTATATTAGCAAAAGGTACAACATTGTAGGAAAAGTAGTTGGAAAGGTGGAAACAGAAAATGTTACTTATTGGATGTGAAGCTAATCATAAAGTATGCTTTAGGACATACTATTTGTAAAAGTTTTAAAAAGTATGGTTTAGTCTGTGATTAGGCAGGCAGTGTGGTCTTGAGTCTGTTGCTTAATTTATAGAGATAGGCCTATATTCCAACTCACTTTTAGTAAGTATTACTGTTCTGAGACTGGAAAGTCACTAATCTCTTTGGGTTTTACTTTGTTCATCTATAAATTAGAGATAGCAATATTTGCTTACAGGGTTGTTGTGTGAACTAAATAGTATAATGTATAGGCACACCAGACCATTTTATGCCTTTGATACATATTAATTTTTCTTTCTTCCTTAAAAGATGCCAGCCTCACTCTTGGCTATTGTCATACATTAATAAGGACACCAAACACTAATAAATTAGTGTTTATAAGTTCACTGAAATAAAATTTTTGATCATTCACTAAATAAAATATGTATATAATCAGGCAGCTTGTAGTTAGTCTGGCAAAGAAGTTTTAATTATCGAATGTGTAGGTGTAGTTAACAGTCTTCATTTCTGGTAAATGACTTTGCTTAGAGTATGTTTGTGTGAGCAAGAGAGACTATTTCCTGGAAGGAAACTGTGGTCTCCAGGTATTTATAATGATGTCACCTTTAATTTTTTTTGAACTCCTGAGCATTATACAGACAATTTTCTCGAGGCAGTTTCTTACAAGAAGTGAATGAAGCCTCCTTATGAGCTTGTTAAGACTCCATAGACTGTCAGTCATATGGAAAAATTGGATGTTTAATCAAGAATGTGAACATGTGTTTCAGGTAGAGAATTCCAAAGATAATGAAGATAACATACTCCAAAGAGAAATTCCTGCCAGGCAGTCTCGACGGAGGTTTCGGAAAATCAACTATAAAGGAGAGCGCCAAACCATTACTGATGATGTGGACATTAACAGTTATCTTTCTGTGAGTATATTTAAGAATATTTTGTGGCTCTTCCTTAATTTTCATATACGGTATTTTTAATTTATTTATATTTTGGTAATATCAACACTTTGGGCTCTACAATTAAAGTTTGGGGATGGTGAATATATCTGTAATTTTTAAAAATACTTCTGCTCTGTTGAGTTGGGTAGTTGCTTTAGTTTTTATTCTCCATTTAAATAATGAAAAAACAATCTTACTGTATTTTTTTAGACATATTTGTGGATTTTCTTGTATTTTTATTGCCTGAATGGAATATAGAGTCCTGGAAACTCAGGCAATAGACTCATTGATAATGCTATAAGGCATTCAAAAGAAAGAAAAAAAGTAAATTCTGCCCTGATGTGTGAGACAGATAAACTTAATATGTGTTATTGCAGAAACATATAAAAGTGGTGTTAAAGATATATTTCACATGCAAATATTGAAAAAGTAGATGAAATACTAATTTGTGTAACACCAGAAGGAACATAAACTGTTTCTTCAGAAATCTTTAGTTTTTGTAACTGTAGATAACTTCCCTTTTAGATGGAAAAGTAGTTGAATCAAGAAGTAAGGATAATTTAAAGAATAAATTCAGGTTTATTTTATCCGTTTTCAAAAGACTCATGATCCCCCAAAATATAAAAGCAGTCTAGAGACTGATCACAGCAAAATTCCTGAGGGTATGTTTAGTTCTTTTGGATATGAGAAACAGAAATTTACTTATTTAATGTTAGGGACAAAGGATTATTTATAGAGGAAGTTAATTTACTGGAATAAGTGTTAACTTTAAGGCAGCTCTAAGGATTTAGTCGCATTTGCCTAATTTTACTGATCCAGTACATTCTACTTCTGTCAACAAACAGTAACATGATATAGTACAAAAATTTTTTTACTGTGTTCAGACCATACAAAATTCAGTTTCTACTTTTCTTATTTAATAATTTATTTTTTTATAATAAATTTCTCCATCACTAATTCATTTAAGCTAACACTTTAAGTTTTGCCTTCCCGCATAAGTAATATGTGTCAGTTTTAAATGTGTCTACATTAAAACTTTACTAGTCTCACAATCCATTTATGTAACCATTTTCTTAATAATGTCATGGTGCTCCATTATAATAATTGCCGTAATTTATTTATTCAGTACCGATATTAGGTCATTTAAATTTCTCTAGTTTTTCTATACTTTTAGAAAAATAAGGTCCATATCTTATTTTTTTATCTTATATTTGTCCATATCTTGGTTTCTTTAGAAAAAAACTCAAGGACTAGGATTGCTAAATTGAAGTATTTCTAATTTATGCTATTTTGTTCTCCCTATATGAGTTAGAGTGTATGATGGGTGTTTTTTAATTGAATTTATTGGGGTGGCATCCTATATAATAAAAGGCTAATATGCAAATTGTCCAAATAGCAGAATGACTGGTCACTATGAGGCGCACTGACCACCAGGGGGCACATGCTCAACACAGGAGCTGCCCCTTGGTGGTCAGTGCACTCCCACAGGGGGAGTGCCACTCAGCCAGAAGCCGGGTTCATGACTAGTGAGTGCAGCGGTGGTGGCAGGAGCCTCTCCCGCCTCCACACAGTACTAAGGATGTCCGACTGATGACTTAGGCTCGCTCCCCACTACAGCAAGCCTAAGCATCAGTTGGACATCCTCCAACGGCTCCCGGACTACAAGAGGGCACAGGCCAGGCTGAGGGACCACACACACACACATAAATGCACGAATTTCGAGCACCAGGGCTCTGGTTGGTTAATAAAATTATACAGGCTTCAGGTATACAGTTCTATAATACATCATCTGTATATTGTATTATCACCCCGAGTCTAGTTTCCATCACCATTTTTCTCTCCTTTGCCTTCTATCTCCCCCAACATCCCCTTTCCTCTGGCAATTATCATACTATTGTCTGTGTCTATGTGTCCACTAGTCTTTCTTTTTTTTTCTTTGTTTAATTCCTTCATCCTTCTCACCTAGCCCCCAACCCCTTCCTCTCTGTACATCGTCAGTCTGTTCTCTGTATCCATGAGTCTATCTCCACTTTGTTAGTTTATTTTTATTATATGAGTTGGATTGTGTAGTTTTTGTGTATTTTTAATTGCTTGCTTATTTTAGTCTCAACATTGGTGTGTTCTCTTCCCAAGTTTTTTGGTATCTGAAAGTTGTCGATCTGAAGGATCATTGTTTTTAAAAAATGACAACAGCAAACACAGTAGCCTTTCGGTCTGAATGAATCAAAACGATATCTTTTTTCTGTTGTCAAATCAACAAAAATATTTTTTTGTTGTGCCATAGAATTTTAGTAATTCGTTTATGTGTGCCATGAGATGAGAAGGTTGAAAATTATTGCTGTAGTTTATTGTTCTGGGATAGTATAGCAGGTAGTAGGCATGGTATGACACTCTAGAATCTACTGTTTTAGTTTAGATTCACAAATTACTAATGCAGCAAGGAGCTCTTTCTCATTTGCTATTTCTGTGATTACACCTTATGTTCCCTGCTCTCCTGCAGTAATCCATGTTTTGTTTGGATTCAGAGCATATTTAGAGAGATTAAGACAGATTTGTCAATCTAGCTGAATTAAGAGTTGATTACTAGGACCAGATCATTTAACCACCTTTATGTTAGTACTCTGAATAATAGCTAGATATTTCACTTGACCATGGATGTGACATCTTAAAATTTTTAGCAACATGTGTTTGCTTTCACGAATTCTATGTGTCTTATCAAGCCATTCCTATAATAAGAAATACAATCCTACCCCCAACCTGCTCATGGGAAAATAGAGGACTTTGCTACAACATGTGAGTATTGAAATCTCCTCCTAAAGAATGTCTTAATCAGTTCAGACTATTATAAAATACCACAGATTCAAGAACTTGTAAACAACAGAAATTAATTTCTCACAAGTCTAGAGACTGGAAATCCAGTATCAGGATGCCAACATGGCTGGGTTCTGATAAAGGCCCTCTTTTGGGTTGTAGATTGCTGACCTCTTCCTGTCTCCTCACGTGGTGGAAAGGACTAGTGAGCGAGCGCTCTGGGTTTTCTTTTAGAAAGGCACTAATCCCAATTATGAAGGCTTATTCCTTGTGACTTGATCACCTTCCAAAGATCCCCAGCTTCTAATCACCTTGGGAATTAGTTTTTCCACATGGGACTTTTCGTGGAATATAAGCCTTCAGATCATAGCAGTGTCCCAACATTTGTCTAAGGACAACCCATTTGGACTTCCAAAGAAACTAGTTTCAGATAAGTAAGACCCTTTATATGGGTAGGATAGTAAGAGCCAGGGCCTCAGTTTGAGGTGATAGAATAGACAGTAAGCTAAAAATCAGATGATAAGGTTCTTTCTCAAGCCCTAACTTGCTATTTTAAGAAATATGTAAGACACCTAGTCCCTGCATCATGTGTGGGAATTAAACTGCATAGTAAGTTGTATTTTTGTTTTTGATTCTTATATATAGACTGACAACTTCTTTTCTGCATAAGAGGGCTAGAGAGCTCTCTGGAGTCTCTTTTATAAGGTCACTAATCCCAATCCCAGGGCCCGCATGACCTAATCACTTTGGAGATTAGGATTTCAACATACAAATTTTGAATTTAGACTGTAGGAGAGCACCAATGAACAAACAATTTAAACAGTTACTCAAGTCAGAATGAAGGAGGTACAAACACCCCTGTTTGTATCTATTATCAGAATTTTCAATTTGGCATGTGTAAGTTCCAGTCACTGGTTTGATGAAGAAACTGTCAACATTGTGAACCTTTTTTGTATTTGTGAACTTGATGGATCTTGATTGTTTTCAGTTTTATTTCATGTTTGGTAAATATTGTAGAATGAAAGAATGAGTGGATAAACAATCTTCTATCACTTCTAAAGGAAGGAAGTTTAACTCGTGTATAAGATAGTGAGTGCTGACTAGATAGGCAGCTACTGAGAAATTTGGAGCCCAGCTCTAGAGTCTGTAGCTTCCTCTCACTCTTCTATTATAGTATTTACAACCCAGAGTGCTTGGACAGGTGCCTTCATTATGTGCTTCCAACAAAAGGGGTTTGCTGCTCCGTTGACTAATGAATTTGCCGACCACTGTCCTAGGAGAATTCTAATTTTCATTTGTCTTCTGGGGAATACGTAGAAGGTAGATAGGAGATTCTTATATCTAATTCAAATGGACAGAGAATAAGCAAAGGGATGAGATTGTAATCAAACTAAGTAGGACAAAGGCCTGCCTACAGCAGATTTTTTAAAAATTGTAAAGTAGAATGCTCATTGTAGAAATGTAAAAACATATAGAAATATATTAGGAGGAAATAAATTTGCTATAAACCTCAAAACCAGATATAGCTTGCATTGATAATGATTTTTGAAATGTATCGTGCTTAATTCAGATCTTTTACCTAATTTAGATAATGCTGAATATTTAGTTATATATCCTGACTTCCTGCTTCTCATACAATTAAATTTCCCCCTAAACATTATTTTTTATATTAGTATTATATTGTGTTAGTGTAACAAGATATTCTCCTGCACCTTCCTACTTTTCTATTACAAACAACTTGTAAGAATAAATCTGTATATGACAGACTTTTTTTTTACCTCTTAGGATTGATTCATAGAAGTTAAGTTACTGTGTTAAGAATATGAAAATTATTTTTAGGACTCTACATAAGTATTGTTAACTTCTAGGTAGTCATTATTTAAAATTGTCTCATTTACTCTGTGTGAACTTTAGGAGTGTTAGGAGGAGAAGGGCAGGATTGCCTCTAAGGTTGTCAGGGTCAGTCATCCCTTAAAGGTGACATTGATTCATATGGATGTGCCCAGGGAACCAGAATTAGGAAGATTTTTATCATACTTGAAATACTTTACACAATAATTGCTAAAGAAAGCCCTTTCGAAGATTGTTTACAGCAACTCTGATACTGATGTATACCAGAGGTCAGAGATAATGATTGGCAAGAGCATTCCAGTTGTAAGGGAAATAAC